TGAAACACCTATTCAGTCATTAAACAGTGACTTTCTTCCTCGGTCCTAACAAGATGAAACACCTATTCAGTCATTAAACAGTGACTATCTTCCACAGTCCTAACAAGATGAAACACCTATTCAGTCATTAAACAGTGACTATCTTCCACAGTCCTAACAAGATGAAACACCTATTCAGTCATTAAACAGTGACTATCTTCCACAGTCCTAACAAGATGAAACACCTATTCAGTCATTAAACAGTGACTATCTTCCACAGTCCTAACAAGATGAAACACCTTATGTCGTTGTTTTTATTTTGGTGCGAGTTTGTTCTGCACAAGCACTCAGAGCTCTGGAAGGCTCTATCTTCACCCTTGCAAAGAGTGCAGTGGAGGAGAGTCTGTGCAACGACACAGACAGACCTTGCAGAACACCTGAGATAAGCATCGCAACTTATCAATGCCATGTCAGAAAAGCAGAGGCATGAAAAATGCCGCAAACAAAAAAGAGCCCAAGAATAATTGAAATCAGTTCCAAAATTAACTGTACTTTATGGAAAAGCAGGGCCTTCAAAAGAGAATACTGAAATTTCCAATGATGGTAAGGTTTTTTTTTTGTTTTCATAAAGCCTAAATGTAAAACATTTTCAATAAGAAAAAATTTTGACTTACCATTGATAAATTTATCCTAAAAGTACCCTCATACATATGTATAGTTATTCATAAGCCACACTTTCTTTTTCAGAGGAACCAGTTGCCCAGACGGATGTTGATGTTTCTGCACCCATTCAATCCGAAGATTGTCAACCTGGATCATCAGACAGTTCTATCCTACCCTCGGATGATATCCTACAGTCAGATCCTGCCTTATGGAAAGTGGATAGGCATTTCCAAGAAGATATGGTAAAAAAGCCGATGGAGCAAAACATTTATAAGCAGGACTTTTCAAGATCTGAAAGAGAGCATAAGGGCACAAACGCTACCTTACCAAGTCTATGTTTTGAAAGAACTATGGTAAATGGTGAGAAAGTAAATAGGGAATGGCTAGTTTATTCTCTGTGTACTGTGCTCCTTGCAGAGTGTTTTGCCAAAAGAATGAAGTTAAAGCATTCATAAATGGTTTCAGTGATTGGAAAAATTCCCATAGCAGGGTTAGGACGCATGAGAACAGTTCGGAGCACAAAAATTGCAATTGGAAAAATTCCCATAGCAGGGTTAGGATGCACGAGAACAGTTCGGAGCACAAAAATTGTAATTGGAAAGATTCCCATAGCAGGGTTAGGATGCATGAGAACAGTTCGGAGCACAAAAATCGCAATTGGAAAAATTCCCATAGCAGGGTTAGGACGCATGAGAACAGTTCGGAGAACAAAAATTGCATTAGAATTTGTCATTCCATAGCATCAGATGAGCATAGAATTGACCAATATCTTGTTAGAGCGTTAGAGAAGGAAAATAAGTACTGGCAAACAGTCTTGAGACGTGTTGTTGAAGTAATAAAGTTTCTTGCAGCAAGGGGGCCTAGCCTTTCGTGGGAATGATGAAAAATTTGAGTCAGATAAAATGGTAATTATTTAGGTATACTTGAGATGCTAGCCAAGTTTAACCCTTTTCTAGCTCAACACATCTAAAAGCATGCAGGGGCAGGCAAAGGTTCCACATCTTACTTGTCAAAAAACATTTGTGAGGAACTTATTAAAATGATGGCAAAACAACTGTTAATGGAAATTGTTTCCGAGATCAAACAAGCAAAATACTTCTCCATTAGCGTTGATTCAACCCCTGACATTAATCAACTGACCTTTATAGTCAGGTATGTGGGATCACACGGAAGACCAATCAAGAGATTTATCAATTTTGTTGAGGTCCATTCACATAAAGCAGAAAATTTAGCCAATGTAGTGAAAGACGTCATAACTGAAGATCTAAGCCTTGATATTAGTAACCTTCGTGGGCAAAGTTATGACAATGCCTCTAATATGGCTGGTGCATATTCAGGTTTGCAGGCCAGAATCAAAGAATTAAATGAACTTGTCCATTTTGTGCCATGTACTGCCCATTCACTAAATCTTGTTGGAGTCTCATCAGTGGACAGTTGTCTTGATGCAATAACGTTCTTTAATTTCCTACAAAACCTGTACACATTCTTTTCATCCTCCACACACAAATGGGACTGTTTAGTTCAGGCTATAGAGAAAGGAGGTCTAGTGGTCAAGTGTTTGTCAAACACTCGTTGGAGTGCCAGAGCTGATGCAGTTAAGGCTGTTAGAAACCATTATTGCGAAATCATGAACTCTCTCCTTAAGATTAGCAAAGATAGAACCCAGATAATGACTACAAGGGCTGAAGCGGGAGGCCTGATCAAACAAATGGAGTCTTTCGAAACTGCTCTGATGACAGTTATATGGAGCACTATATGAGAACGATTCAATGCAACTAGCATAGCTTTGCAAAGTCCCACATTTGACCTTCTCACTATAACCAATATGTACAAGTCCCTCTTAACATTTGCACAAAAACTGAGAGACAATTTTGATGATTTGGAACAAACAGCAGCCACTTTTGTCAAAGATTCCTCATATAAAACAGCACAGAAACGTTGTTTTTATGAAAGTCCAACAAGTGCAGCATAAATGAATTTTAAAGATCAATTCAGAATTGGAACTTTCTATTGTGTGTGTGACAGTTTTGTTACAGAATTAAACAAAAGGCTTGAAGCCTATTTTAAATTACAGGAACTATTGGGTTTTCTCACAGAATTTCCCTCCATGACTTCAGACCAACTGCAGAGTCAAATCTTAGGCCTTTTACAAGCTTATCCCAAATACCTGGAACCTGTTTTAGTGGAAGAATTCTGCCAATTCACGGAGCTCTTAGGGGATGATAAATCAATACAGCATATGAGTGATTTACTAAAACCTAATAGTTTACTGCTTCCAATAATCCCAAATGTGGCAACAGCAGTTTGAATATACTTAACTATTCCAGTCAACAATTGTGAAGAAGAAATATCATTTTCAACATTGAGTAGGGTCAAAAACTATCTCCGATCAACAATGGACCAAGATAGGTTAGGCGCCCTTGCACTGATGTGCATTGAATGTGAAACGCTCAAAAAGATAGACTTTAATGACCCTGTTAGGACATTTGCAGCAGGCAAAAGCAGAAAAAGGGACTTCTAAGTCTGTAAAACTTTCTATAGGCAATAAGAATATTTCCACACATTTATTTCAGTAGACATTTTTTTTTAGGTTAAATATTGCAGATATGCATTACTGCATTTCATGTCGTAATTTATCCTGAAATGCGTTTTATGTTTGGTTAACATGTCCTAAAGATTAATTCTGACTTATAGACACAGAGCTGAGACAGCATATGATAATGATAGGCCTATGTATTTGTCAACTAAATCAGATTATTATATTCAGACTTATGTATTAGTATGTTAAATATACAATGCATATTTATGTTTATGTAATTTGAATGGCTCATCAGTTGAAGTATAATGTTATGATTTCTGGATCATTGTTAAATAAAATACAAAGTCGAATTTCTACCTATTCTGTTTCTTTCACAATATATTCCAGTTCAAAGATGTAAATTTAGATTCACCAACCTCTCTCCTTGACAACAACAAAAAAACAACAACAACAACTATGTATATATATCCACACTCTATTGAGTTTGGGAGGGGCCCCACTCCCATACCGTGCCTAGGGCCCTCATTCAAAATAAAAAGGTCATTCGTGTATGCCATTCATAATAAAGCACGCCCAGCATGGCCAGGTGGTTAGGGCGCTCGACTCGCAATCTGCGGGTCGCGGGTTCGAATCCCCGTCACACCAAACATGCTCGCCCTTCCAGCCGTGGGGCGTTATAATGTGAGGGTCAATCCCACTATTCGTTGGTAAAAGAGTAGCCCAAGAGTTGGCGGTGGGAGGTGATGACTAGCTGCCTTCCCACTGCTAAATTAGGGATGGGTAGCGCAGATAGCCCTCGTGTATCTTTGCACGAAATTCAAACAAACAATAAAGCACTTAAAAACTGTAAAATGCCAAAAAATATTTTATCAAGCTTTGTAATATCCGTTACGGTTTGTGTTTTGGTGGAACGCTCCTGAAGAAGCTGCAAAACGAAACGTTGAGTGTCCAATTAAATAAATATAACAATTTAGTGTTATAAGGTCGTTTATTTCTAGTATTAAGAATTTATGATGCCGTTACATTTACAAGTAACTTTAGCCTATGTATATGTGAAAATATTCAATAGATTTCAACTACACCAGTTGCCAGTTTCAATTTGTTAGCCAAATTGTTAACAATATAGTGCTACGTCTCTAGTCGTTTGTTAATTTCCGGTATAAATTCTTCCCGAGGAACTTCAAAGATACAAGTCCTTTCTTAAATAAAACTAGTTTATTCTTTCTCAATACAACTTTGCAATACACTTAATTTCCACAGTCACTTTAACTTAAACACACGCTATAATTCACAACGATTCACGCACTTTACTTACGACTTGACTCGATTATCTGTCTCTATATCTCCCTATTTGCAATTCTAATCTCCACTTTATTTGCCGGGCTTATATACAAAAAAATAGAGGGCGCCTGGAGAAGACTAGAGCTGCCAGGAACAGTCATGATCCTTCTAGAAACTCCAGCGCGCATGCTTCCAGCGTCACGTGATTTACGCTGTGTTAAGAATAGTTTATGTTATACTCAGTTTCACTTGCGTTATAACTTAAATAGAAAGAAAGACGGTTTAGAAAGCATACGAAATTTATGCTTTGAAATAGGTAAAAGGGAAAATTATAACATTATTTTCTAATATGTTTAGGTTCAAATTATTATTACTCATTTTTGTCATTCATTCACCAACGTACTGAATGATTATTTCTATGCCAAATAATAAACTATTATACAAAGTTCAAAATATCATCTTTCACATTATATATAGTACGTGCAATTTTTAAAATATTCTAATGATATTTCATTGAACATATCCTTAAAAATGATTTATATGAGCAAGTAAAACAATGACAGTATCATCTTGTAGCATCTCAATTAAAAGAGATTAATCAAATCACTCATAATGATATTAGTGCAAGTCATGTTAACAAACACTTGATTTTCTCCAATTTATGTTGTCGCATAAATTTATAAATTTACCTTGAATAACAATATCGAACTTTTAATAAACACGGCGTCTTGGTGGATTTAAGCGAATAAATAATGTGAAAAGAGAAAACAATATTTTGCGTTGAAAAATGAAAAGGTAAAGTGATTGGAAGATCCTACACTTTAATATAAAAAAAATATATATATATTTGTTAGTGAAAACAAAATTTTATGTTTATACTTTATACAAAAACACTGGAAAATATAAGAAAAATAAGGAAAAAGAAAAAATATTGTTGAGCTCACTACCAAAATGGTCAAACTATTCATGATATATATTCTGACTCCATAGATAATACTTGGGCACCAGATGTCGTGCTATTCTCCGGTAACTATGCTGCACTGCGTACAAGGAGGAGGTACCATTTAACATTGAAGACGTGGCTAAAGAACGATTGAAAGTGAAATATTACAATCTCTCTTATGCAGGAAAGTAATTCAGGTAATGGGGGATTTCAGCTTGGAGTTATCATCGGCTGTAAATCATATATCATCCAGTGAAAATAAGAAAGTTAGTAACACATCTGTGTTGTTTTCGACCAAGCTGAAAGCAGCAAGTGAGCAAACCGGACAAGCTAGTTCCGGTGGATCAACTGATACTGATAGTAACGATATCGTAAACGATACAGTATCCAGTAGGCTAACAAGTAGTAATATTTCTAACATAAGAGAAGTCACGTCTGACATTGAAACTAAAGGAGAACTGATGTTTGAGAAGTCTAAATCTCCAAGAAATGTTGAAGTTGAAAGTGAAAATACAGGTATTTCTTACAAAAACTTCAGTGGGGCTTCAGCAACGTTTGGTACAAACATTCCTCCTATTAACAGCAGTACTAATAATACTACTCAGGCTCAACTTACACGATCTCAGAGTCAGCCACAGAACTTGTGCTCTTTTTCTGAAACAGAAATTGAGGACCCAAGAAGATTAGACTCAAGAAAGAGTGCAGATGGATTTGTGTTCCCCATAATGGAGCCTAATACTAGTACAAGGAATACAGTTTCTCTCTCAAAAGAAGATTGCAGTGTACCAAATGCAACTAATAGTTTGCCAGTGAAAAATGGAGAAAGTGAAAATTTAACCTTAATGCCTGAAATATCGCCTATTTGTACAGTGGTTTCTACCACTGTAGGCCAAGAAAGAATGATCTCTTCACAGCTTGAGTTTTCTGAACCATCGGCTCCATTTATAATGCCAGCTTCTACAACAAGTTATTGGCCATTTGTTGGGCAAAACTGTGAAGAATTTCTTAGTGGAATGCACACTGTCAATGGTAATTTTTCAGTACAAAATTCTCAGTTAAGTACTACACCAAATATCAATCATATCAACTCTGTTTTAAATTTAAGTGCTGGTCTAGGAAATCAAGTACAAACTGTTAGCAGTTTCAGTAATAATTTGCTTCCCCAACAGTACCAGTATCAAAGACGGGCTATTACTGGAGCTCACAATTTTGGCCGGGGTAGCCATGATAGTCAATCACTAAACCAAGGGTACCCAGAATGGAATACCCCATCACAAGCCTGGCCATTACAACAAACTCGTAACTCTGTATATCCATGGAGTGCAACAAATCTGGCAGCAGTTCAAAAGCAGTCCATGTCTAATCCAGCCTCTTTGTTAAAAAAGTTCCCTGTTTCTTGCGGACGTTTGTCAAATTCGCCGTCCAAGTTCCGGAAGAATGTTACGTGGCCTTTCAGCAATTATGCTGAACAGCAAGATTTACAGGCTAACCTTCAAGGAGAAGATGGAAAAGAAGAAACTTTTCGGGTATCTAGCTGTTATTATAACTTTTAAAACAGTTTCTCTTAAGTATATCAGTTGTTTAAAATCACTGGTATAATGCTGCAATGTAGCTGATGGAATTTTAGAATAGTTGTTCCTAAAGTGTAGTGTTTTTTTTGGATAACCTAGATCAATTTATATAATATACAAAAATTTCAAGTTTGTAATGATGACTGTATATAATTAGTTGCTGTATTAGAACATGAGGACAAACTACAAGGAAAATTTAAAATACTGGAAAACTTCAGGTGATCAAGGTCATCTCCTTATCTATCAGGGTCATCTCCTTACCCATGTAACTTGTGAACAACAAGGGATCATTTGGTTCTTTATAACTAACCTTGCACCCACTCTTGAGAAAAGTAAAAAATTTAAGCCCACCCTTTATTTTTCTGGAAATTGTCAACTTCCTTCATAAACTCCTTTAAAGTGCAGATCTCCAATACGGGCAAAGA